TGAGAAAAGACATTTTTAAAAAGACTAGAAACATTTTTATAAAAATCTAATAACATCCTATAGCTTGTATCAATTAAATACGGTGTGACTCCCCCGGCAACAGGCTAAGGATTTTGTTGTCTAATTGCAGGAATGGTGTCCCGAAGGACAACCATCCCCGCATAAACAACAAAATCCTTGCCTGTCGCCTTGCGCTGCTCATTGCATGACGCAATGAGCTTATGGCGCGCGTCAAGTTGGGACCGTGATAAAGACTCACGGATATTAACATTTTTGAAAATTGGGATAGATTTAATCTTATGTTTATTTTTCAAAAAAAATCTAGTGGCATACTTCGTCGGAAATTCAACTTTTAATAACCTGTTCCCATCGTCCTTCTTCTTTCCCATTCTAAAAACACTGGTCGGCAATTCACTTTCCAGTCCAATTGTATCAAGCATTGAATGAACAGTTTTGATGTCATTTTCTGCCCGTTTTGTTGGAGTGTTGTCAATCGATTCAGGAAGGCCTGTGATGACAATAGTGTGTTGTCGACGTTCTTCTTCATTGTAGTCTTTTGCTGATGGTTGTTCATTAAGAAGTTGCACTGCTGTTTGAAGAAGTCCACCAAGTTGTTTAATTAAAATTTTTGCGTAGTCAGGAATTGAAGAATCGGAATCGATTGCTGCTGTGTTGTTAAAATCACAAATAGTTATTTGATCGATTAATTTTTGAAGTTTGTCGTTAATAGAATAAGAATTAGAAAGTGGAGAAATATTGGCTTGGCTTTGATTGCGTTTGCCTGTCATTTCCATAAGCTTTATTACCACAAGAGCTTTGTTAATGAAGAAATTAATATAATGAAGAAATTAAAAATAAAAAAGGAAAGGAGCAATTAAATATGATAATATTTTGACTATAGAAGAATGTGGACCGTGGTTGGCAATTATGTGGTTTTCATTTAAAGTTGTTGTTTTTGGATTAGGGTGGATGCTGTTGGCTTTGCAATATTTTCTTTAGAAAATAAAAATTAAATTTTGAGAAGGATTTGATAAATATTTTGATTAATTTTATAATTCAACACTTTGTGACGTAAACGTGTGTAATTTAATTTTAAATATACTATAAAGAATTTTTTAAATATGTAGATCAAACATGCACGAAACGTTCCGTCTCGTTGTTTTGTTAGTTGTTTTCCTGATTAATAACAGGATGATAGTATCGTATCATTAATTCTTATTTCAATCAAACGTAAAAGGATGGAAAAAGGATCAGAAAAAAGGACGAGTAAAGGATGATCAGATCTTAATATGAAATAGTCCTCTATTATCATAATTTCGCTCACTTTTCTTGTGTAATCTTGTGTCCTTCTAGCAATTAGCAATATCAGCAATCAGAAATCCCATAAATTTGAGTAGTCTGGGAAATAAATTTCCGAGATAGTGGATTTTATTCATATATGAATAAAAAATTCAAATGAGAATGAAAATAGTTAAAAGATTGCACTATATTTTCGATTTTGTTATCATATGTATGCGATACCGTCCAAATTCATTTTTAGGACAAATTTGGGGACTGAAACCCAAAAATTTAATTTTCTTTGTGTTCAAAGTTTGGGTGGTTCCGAAACAGTATTTCATGTTTGGGACCTACTCCGACTTGGTCTGGGTCAGTTCCTTAACTTATTCTTCGAAATTTCTGAAAGTTATTATCGTTTTTTTAACTTAAAAAATTTGCTGTAACTTTCAAAAATTTCGAGGAATAGGGTAGGGAAAGGTCTCAGAACCAGTGGGCGCAGGACACGAACATGAAGAACCCAACCCCAACTTTAAAACACAAAGAAGAACAAAGAAAATTTTTATATCAATTATGTCAAAATTTCTTCATAAATCGACTTGGATAAGCTTGTCGTTAGAAAATTATTTGTATCTTAGACCGAAACGAAAATTTTTTGGCGATTTTTTAGCTCATCCACACGTTAAGCCAAAATCATCCTTTTTATGATGAACCAAAATTGAGCCTTACCCACTTCCTAATAAAAAACCGAATCGAGCATCTTCGTTCCTTCAATTGGTGTGGTGAAAAGAGGACCCGACGTGAATGGAGGACTCGACGTGCCTAAACCTCTTATTTAAGAATTAGATATAAAAATATATGTATTTATTTCTTTATTTATTTATCAATTAAAAAGGCGGAGAAGAAAAAGTAAAGTTAAAGTAAAAGTGGTTTTTTGGTTGGATTGGCCAATCCTTATATTCGGTTATTTTAAGAAAATAGAATTAGTGACTGCTGTTTAAAAATTATTACAATTCTATAACAATTTCTTTTTATATTTCACAAAATTATAAGATAATATTCTTGGACCTCGTCTGCCATCTCAAAAACTTTTTTCGACAATTCTGTAACCCATTGATTTGCACCTTCAAATGTGGCAAAACCAGCATAAATATTCGAATAGAATTGCCACAAGAAAACTTTAATTAAATTTGAAGAGCTAAGAGTTCGATTTGAATTTGGATATGTCAATGCCATATCTGCTGCATAACATTTTGAATCAAGCATATTTAATTCATTTTCAATCAATTTACTTAATTCACCGGGTAACTTGTTGGAAAAACGTGCAACAAATTTAGAACGAATCATATCGATGATTAATTGATAGTTGTTATTCCTGAAAATTATTTAATAATTTTTAGAATAATTTTTAGAATTGTGTTTTTTGTAATCATGATTAGTTGTAAAATATTATAAATTATTAAGCTCTTGGCGTTTATAAGTCTGAAGATTGAGGTGCAATGCTATAGCTCGTAGTAAAGCTTATTTCTAATATCCGCTGATCGACACAGAATTTACTTAGACTCATAATGTTTTCTAAACTGAACAATATAAAAAAAGATAAAATTCTGGAAACAATTACCGTATATGCTGTATTAATTACCCCGGGCAATTATTGTTTCGATCTCTTGCTAGAGGGGGCAATAAAAGCAGGTTGGGTAATTATTTGAGGGAGGATAATATATACAATATATACGGTAAGTAAGAATTTTAATAAACTATCTATTAATAAATTTAATGTTAAATTTACTTTATAACTACCAAAAAATTTTTTCTCTTGATACATATAGAGATAGAAAGTAGTATTAATAAGAAAACTAACCGTCATCATTAATTAAGCATTAATGAAAAACTAACCGTCGAGCTAAATTATTTAAACGATCAATCTCAGTTTTTAAAATATCATCTGCTATAATATCAATTGATTCTTTATTTATATTATGGAATCCCTTTTCTTGTTCCGCAATTTTATCAAAACGGAAAATATAATTTAATCTCAATCGAGTATAATAATTATTTGTTATCGATATTATACTTTTGTATATGGCATAATTAATTTCATAAAGGCGATTGCTGGTTGCAATCTTTGAATAACGATATTTAAAAAATTTTTAATTATAAATCAGACAACATATGAAATTTATTTCATAAACTTAAAAGCTACAATATGTATCCGCGCTATATCCAAGCACAGTGTAGGATTCTTGATTATTTTTGTTCCTTAGGTATTTCTCTATCATATAAATTATATTTTATCTCGGTATTTTTATAAAGTTATGCCACAAATGCCCGATAATTTTTGGGTCACCCTGGTCGTAACAAACAGAAAATATTTAATAACCTCCAAAAATAATTTTTTTCCAATTGGTACTACAATAGCATTTTGCAGCCAATCTGCCGTATACAATTCAACAAATCTGTTAGAAACCAATGTCGACTCTGAGAGGAACGAGATACTTCTAAAAAAATATATTCTCACAGATTGAGAATATAACTCTTCCATTAAATCCACAAAAGTTAAATAAAAGAAAAGAAATATTTTTGTTTTTGGCTGAATTTGTCCAAGAATTTTGAAATCCTGTTTAAAATTTTTAATATTTAAATACACCTGTTCATAATAAAATCAGGTTTAATTTTAAATTTAAATTTTTTATTAAAATTTAAATTTATTATATTTAAAATTTATAATTAATTTTTTTATTTTAATTTGAATTTAGATAATAAATTTTTTTTATTTAATTTATATTTTATTTTTATATTATTATATTTTTTTTTATATTTTTTTTCTTTTATTTAGGGGGTTTTAAAATATATCTTTTTGAGAAATAAATTAATTGTAATCAAAATAATTTATTTGGTAAAACTATAGTAAAATAGAAACTTCAATGAAAGTTTAAAATTGGTTAATAATTTTTGGAAAATTTAAATAACCATATCAAATTCCTTATTGTAAATTATAGACAACTACCTATTTCTACTTACTGTTTTTCCTATCAGAAAAATTATCATAAATTTATTTACTTACCTGCATTCGATTATCTACATTTTTTAAAAATCCAGTTAACCGTTCTTTCAAATGTTTGAAATTATCAAATGTTTCTAGATTAATTACAGAATGTATTGCTTTTTCAATTTTATGGTAATAGGTGTTCAAATTAAGGTCACGTAAAAGATTAATTAGAAGAAATTTGTCATCTCCTGTGTTTAATGATTAAATTTGAGGATAAATTAAAGTTGGAAGGGTGTTGGGGCAGAGGGATGCTCTTGCGTGGCCAGCGCACTTACCAACTAATCGGATCAACTCAACTATCCTTCGTTGCTGAAAGAGATAAACACTATTATAAATAAAAACTAGACTGGCAATAATATATACTTCTCACATTTAAAAATACAATTCTCACTCATAATAAAAATAAAAAGAAAAACTAACTGACTAACTAACGATACAATTTATTATAAGTGATTAAAATAGGCGGGATTAAATATAAAATATAAGGAGTCGGAGATATGACTTGTTGTTTTAGAGTAAGGGCAAATAAAAGGAAACGATAATCAAAATTTTAGTTTATTTTTATTAACCCGGCCATAATTTGAAATTAAGTTTGGATTTTGATAAATTCATTAATAAAACAAAAATAATTGTTTAATTTATTTTTTTCAAATTATATTTAATAACAACATAATTTCTAATTACCCGGTTGATCTATACGAAGTAATTTCTTTGTCATAAAAATTGAAAGAGGATCAAAAATCATCTCATATTTTTTATTAAAATTTATCATTTCAGTAACTTTTCCAAAAAAATTCAAAGCAAAATTATCATCCTCAAATAAATTTTTATTTTCCTCATTTTGTTTTAATATATTAATTATTTCATTAATTTTCTCATTATTTTGTTCATGATTTTCAAAATTATTTGAAACAATTTTCTCAACAATATAATTAATTCTTTGTAAAAAACATTCAACAAAATCATCAGAAATTATCGCTTTTCGAACTTTTTCATCAATTATTTGTTCAATTAAACTTTCTTTACACAAACTTTCTTCATTAAAATCAGCCCAAAGAAAAGTTAAAATTATCATTCGAGCCTTAAAAATATCTTCAACTTTTGAAATATTACGAAATGAATTTTCCATTAAACGTCTAAGATGTTCCTCTTTATTTAGTGGAATTTCATCAAGAATTGTTTCTATTTCTTTAGTTTTTATTAAATTTTGTAGAAGGAAAAGAAAAACTAAAAATAATTAATTTAATATTTTTTTCGTTAAATATTTTGAATTTTTTTACATAAAATATTAAATAAAAAATATAAAGAGAAATATGTATAATTATTTTTAAATCCAAAGGATTTAACATTAATAGAATTTTAGAATTTTAATAGAATTTTATATTTTTAATAAAATAATAGATATCAACTTACATAAAAGGAAAATGAATTTAATTTTCATTCTTTAATTAAAAAATTATCAATCTAAAATTAAAAAAATTATTTTTAATTCCCAAATTTGCGAAAATGTTGACTCCGGTTATATTCAAAAGTGTTATAAAATGTATTTTGTTCCTAAATATAAAAAATATATAAAAAATTTTTATTATTTGCCAATGTTTTTGAACTAGAATTTTTCTATATATGATATTTCCGCCTACTCCTTATTTACTATACAATTACTTTTATGCCCCAGGCCTTACTCATCAGCTACCAGACCCGTATTGCACGCCCTGAACTTCCTCCAGCTCCTGGATATCATCCTTTAACCCAAGGGATCCTTGGGATCCTTTAAACCCAAGGCATATATAAAACCAAGGGATCCTTTAAACCCAAGGCACATAAGTCGCTCGACGCATGTGTGCACCGCGAAAAGTCAAGGAACCCATATCCGAGAGGTTTATTTACTAACACTATGTGAGCAACTCCTAGAATAGCTGAGAAAACAGGATACATTCATTTATTATAGCAGGGATAAAATGTTTGAATGATTTTAAAATATTTTTATTGAAAATATTTTTATAAGGCATTATGAAATGATCGGGCAGACTAAAGAAGATATAAAGTGCAAATTATAAAGGGCAAACGGCAAATAAAAAGGGCATTATTGAGAAATTTATTTAATTTATGAATAAATCACAGGATAAAAATGCACTTATTACAAAAAATAATAAAAATAATTAATAGAGAAATTAAATTATGTTAAGTTGCCTAGAATATTGTAAAAATTTGGAGGAAAGAAAATAAAAAAGGTTAGTTACGTAATTTTACATACACTGCGATGCAAAATTATACGTCCACCCCTTTTTTCGAAATTTTTTTCATTTGTATTGATCGAAATTTTCTGAAAATTTTTATACACACCCTTTAATGAATAACTAACAAGATGTCTCGATCTCGGTATTTTAATACCGAAAACGGGAAAAATTTACACCCCTAATGATGGAAATTTTCATGACCAATTGGCTCTTCCAAAATCACACAAAATTTTCGCCTGAAGCGCTGTAAATGTAAATTCAATAGAAATTTTTAAATGGAAATTCACTACAAATAGAGATGTTGAAGCAGTGGCTCATAAATAGGGACTCACAAAATATGCAAATGCATGTTTTGTATGCGGATATACCTAAAAGTGTCAAGCTAAAAAATGGTGTTTTTACGTTGGTCCGAGCACTTTAGGACCCGGTTCTTAATGCATGTATTTGCATATTTCGGCTCTTCCGTGCATATTTGTGCATATTTTGGGAAATTTTGCATATTTTGGTCCATATTTCGTCATTTTTTGGCAATTTTTAGAAAAATTGAGGAAAATTTTGGAAATTTTTTTTCAAAAAATTTTAACATGAATTTTAAATCCATAAAATCATTCATATGTGCTCTTGAAATGCAAAATTATAGGGTAAATTAGTAGTAGTTAACACCCACACTACGGGACAAAATGGATACCGCCAACCTTTTGATTAATTGCTTAACCGCAAAGATGATTTATGTTCGCGCACAATGGAAACCTATTGACAGGTTTGGTAGGGGAGGGGTCTGCTTCCGGTAAAACAAATCCTAAGGAAGGGTTCTGAGTGAGAGGGGAGGGGTCCGAGCCAAATCCTGAAAAGGGTTTTAGAGTCTCGCACATCAATTAAGTGGTAGGGGAAGGTTTTCTTGTACTAATTATTGTAATTTGTTCGCGCACGTGCGGTAAAATTTCGAGATATTTGTGTACTGGGTGGGAATTCTTCCATGCAACAAATTGACCGCACCGCGGTAAATTGTCCACCTACTTTTTCTTTCTATATTTCTCTACTTTTTTCTCTCTTTTTCTCTTTTTTATCTTTTTTATACCAAGTGTACATACTTACAAAAAAAGAGCAGGATGTGTGTTTGGTTAGGTTGTGTGCATTATTGATTTGTTTTTCAATAATGCACACAACCTAACCAAACACACATCCTGCTCTTCTTTTTTACGTCATTTTTAACTAAACCAAAATTATTTTATTTTTATAAAAATTTTTTTTCAAACAAAAGTATTATTTTTTAATTAAATTATTTTATTAAAAAATTTTTCAGATAATTATTATAATTTTAATTATTTTTTTCTAAATTTAATTTCTAAAAAATGGATATGGATAATAATCAACAACAGCATTCGTCTAAAAAGGAGAAAGGTTTTGTTAAATCGTTTTACTTTTGACTTTATTTTTTAGAAAGTCTTAAGGATTCTGGCAAAAAGAAGGTCAAATTTGAAACTTACTCCGATTCTTCTGTTGATGACTTTGAAATGGTAGAAAGTGCTAAAAATGATGGTGTGATCAAAAATGATGCTCAGGCAAAGCGTTTTGGTATATCTTTTAATCTTAATCTAGTTTACTATCCTGTAAAGGGTTGGGATGGGAGGGTAGAACCCTGTAAAGGGTTGGATGGGTAGAACCCTGTAAAGGGTTGGGAGAGTAAAACCCTATAAAGGGTTGGGAGGGTAAAACCCTGTAAAGGGTTGGGTGGGTAGAACCCTGTAAAGTGTTGGGAGGGTAAAACCCTGTAAAGGGTTGGGAGGGTAGAACCCTGTAAAGGGTTGGGTTGGTAGAACCCTGTAAAGGGTTGGGTGGGATAACCATGTAAGGGGTTGGGCGGGTAGAACCCTGTAAAGGGTTGGGTGGGTAGAACCCTGTAAAGGGTTGGGTGGGTAGAACCCTGTAAAGGGTTGGATGGGTAGAACCCTGTAAAAGGTTGGGTGGGTAGAACCCTGTAAAGGGTTGGGAGGGTAGAACCCTGTAAAGGATTGAGTGGGTAGAACCCTGTAAAGGGTTGGGTGGGTAGAACTTTGTAAAGGGTTGGGAGGGTAGAACCCTGTAAAGGGTTGGGTGGGATTACCCTGTAAAGGGTTGGTTGGGTAAAACCCTGTAAGGGGTTGGGTGGATAGAACCCTGTAAAGGGTTGGATGGGTAGAACCCTGTAAAGGGTTGGGAGGGTAAAACCCTGTAAAGGGTTGGTTGGGTAAAACCCTGTAAAGGGTTGGTTGGGTAAAACCCTGTAAAGGGTTGGTTGGGTTAGGGGAGGGTAGCCCTAAAAGGATTACTTAAGTTTAAAACCTTGTAAAAGGTTTTTTTCAGAATGCAAAAGAATCTATGGAAAGAACTTGGTCAATAACCCTCTTCATCTTATTCAATCCACTTCATCTGGTATATTTTAAGATTATATAATAAAAAATATTTATTAAATTTAGATGTTCCACTTCCCAAAAGCGAATTTTCTACTCCAAAAAACAAACAAAAGAATATGTGGTATGTTTTTAGTAAAGATTTTAGTAAATAAGCTATAAATTTAGTGAATTCGGCTATCTCCTAAACAGCAGTCAATTTGAAGTTGAAAAAATTTTAGACAAACGTGTTGTAGAAGGCAAAAGGTTGAATATTTGATTAAATGGAAGTGTTATGACAATTCGAGAGACAATACTTGGTATTAATTTTTTATATTTAATTGCGATAAAAATCTAGGTAGAATGAGGAGAATTGTGATTGTCCTGATTTAATTCAAAAATTTAATAAGAAAAAGAAGAAGAACAACAAACTAACACCCGTTAAAAAATATAAATTTGAAAAAATATCTGAAGTTGAAGAAAAGATGCAAAATAAATTTGATAGACCTTTAAGATCGGCAGCCTACAAAGCGTTACAAAAAATTTTTAAAAATGACGTACTATTTTTTTATATTTCGAAAAATTTTTTTATTATTTTTTAAAGTTTAATGATAAGGATGTTTTTAATGGAAATTATTTGAATGAGGAAGAACAAATTGTAAAAATTTTTATATTAAAAATTTATTATTATTATTTTTTAAAATTTGAAGATGAGGAAGAAATTTTAGATGAATATTTTTTGGCTGAAGAACAAATTGTAAAATTTTTAATTAACAAAATTTTTTATTTTTAAAGTCTATTTAGGAAGGGGAAGAAAATGAATCAAATAATAATACTTTGGTTGAGGATGAAAATAAAAATAATATGGATGGGGAAGAAATTTTAAATGAAAATTTGGCTGGAGAACAAATTGTAAAATTTTATATTTAACAAAAAATTTTTTATTTTTTAAAGTCTATTGACTTTAAATTACGGATCAGTTTTGTCAGTGTAATATTTAGTGAGTGTTTTAATAAGTTTAATATTAGAAGTATTTTTAAGATTAGATTAGATTTAATTATAACTATTATAATCATATCATAACCTGATTGAGCTTCTTTATAAATCTCAACAGCTTTAGTAGTGTTTTTAATTAAAATTACGACAACACCACCCGTTGCGGAAACCGAAAATATCTCATTAAAAGTTAATTTATTTGTAATTATGAGATTATTACGAATCCAAGTTTCAGTTACTTGGATTTTATTCTTTTTGTATATACACATATTTTATATATACACATATAATATCAAAAGAGTTTAGTAAAATAAAATTCTTAAACTCATTAATTTTATTAATTAGAAATCAACTATTAAAAAGATTAGATTTAAAATCATGTTTAGTGTTATTATTATGTGTATTTTGTATTGCACCTTCACAATAAGCGCCTATTAGAGTAATTGGTGAGAAAATACAGAAAATTTCAGCAAAAATTCATTTTTGCAGATCATTTGCGGAAATGTGGAGGTCGAGCTTGACATTTATCGACGATTAATAAGTTTATACAAAAGAAATAATAAATAAAAAATATACATAAAATATTTATAATGAAAAATATCTGCTGGCGCAATTAAAGTTCATTAGTCAATAAAAATATTAGTCCATATTTAATTATTATAGGAGTGCTGTATCATTAAATGGATATTGAGAAACTTTGAAACTAATGTATCCAACTTTCTAATTGTTTAGTCGCTAAAATTATAGTAGAACCCATTACCCCCTCCTTTAATATTAATGGAAAATAGTGGTAAATGGGTTCTACTATTGCTACGATGTATACAAGCTGAAAGAAATTTTAATTAAATTCCATTACAGCTTTCTGACCTTTCACAATAACCAAAAAATTTTAAACCATTCATTTGAGGAATAGACATTACTATAACTTTTAAATTTTGTTGGACAAATATTTTGATTGAACTAATGAACTTTAATTGAATACTTGGTCCATAAATTCTTCTTTTAAAAATCAAAAATATTTAATTTTCATTTTTTACCTCAATTTCTTCAAAATTTTCAAATTCCAAAATTTCAATATCAATCGAACAATACCCTTTCCAGTTTTGAAATATATTTTCAATGAATGAGTGACAGTCTTTCAAAACATTTGGTAAATTGTTCTTGCATTTTTTATCAAGATAGTTCTTGATAACTTCTTTTGTTGATTTATAAAAACTTAAAAATATTTTTTTTAAATTTTTTAAAAATTTTGGAAGTAAAAATTAATTTTAAGTAAATAATTACTTTATATCCAAAGGATTATTTTTAACAATTTTAGCAAGTTTTTGAGCATATTTTTGTAGTGAATTGTTGTCTATGAATGCTTTAATGTTAACTCCCCCATCTTCATTAAATGCCTCAAGAAATCGTTGGGAAAGGCAATACCCAACAAATTGACGTCCTGAATTTTTGAAAATTTCTTTAATATCTTTAACATCTTCTTTATCTCCCAAAATATTCTCAAATATTTTCTCCCAATTTTTTAAAAGAAATTCCATCTTTTCCTCGATTATGTCTGCAAAATTATTTTGGTATAATTCATTTTTAACCGATTTATTCTTTCCCATATATTTTTTAATATCAACAAGTTTTTTTCCAAATTTTTTAGTTTTTGCTGTTATATCATCTAAATTTTCAAAAAAATTATTAACAGCAACTTCATGTTGATTAAGAAGAGGAACTGATTGGGGATTTGTGTGACTTTCCTTGTCGGGAATAATTTTATTGGAATGTTCTCCGTTGTTTATTGAAAATGATTGTTGGTGTGTTACATCACCGAGAGGCTTGTTACTACGAAAGACATCAACAAAGTTTTTGTATTGAGTGAGTAGATCAGTAATTTTGATTTTTAAATGCTTATATTCTTTTGGTTTGTGTCCAAAATTTAATCTTAAGTTTAAGAAAAAAATTAGTTTTCATCCCAACACCATTTCTATTATGGGGGAGATCAGATTATTTTTTATTTCTCAATAACTTTCCTGGAATAAACGCCCTACTAACTAACATACATATTAATAATAGTGTTTTCGGTTCGGGCCGACGTTCGAGTTATTTTTTATGGACTTCATTTCGAGTCCTTTTCAGGCCAATCAAAATTCGATGCACGATTCGATCTTTCAGACCGGGCCGGGCCCCCAACCCCAATTAATAATAAACAAGTGTCTAAAACATTTAAAACAAAAATTAATTATTTTACGTGTATTCTAGCGATTTACGATACAAATTATTACGCCATTCAACAATAAATTTGCATTTTTCAACAACATTTTTACTTAAATCTTTTACAAATTCATAAATTTCATTTTTCTCTTCATCACTAAAATAGCTATCTTCTTCACAATTTGAACATTTAATTTTAAAAATATTCCAATTATTTCCTTGGTGCTTTTTGTATTTTGAAACTATAAAGCTAAAAGCAAATAATGTTTGGTGACATTTTTCTAAAGAATTTTGGATTTTAAATTGTTGCTGATTCTCAATACTTGATTGTTTGATATCTTTATTTTTTAACTGAAAGTTTTGAATAATTAATTAAAATTTAATAAAAAAAATAATTTTCATTAAATGCTTCTGAAGCGATATAAGAATTTTAGAAAATACATGCAAGTATTTGAAGTAAAAATTAAGGATTATTAATTATTTTATTTTATAAATTAATTTACTTTTTTAATTTCAACTTTCATTTCAGAATATACATAATTACTATTTAGATGTTCAAGATTTTTTGAAATAAAATTGAGGACATAATGAGCCTCCGTGAATGTCATTTTATGTTGAGAATGAAGTTGCACTTTGAGGGAAAAAATTTTAAAAATAATTTTATTAAAAAATTAACTTTATAAAAGTTTTTATTTTTAATCTAGTATTTTGGCTGTTGCCAAAATACATGTTTAATTATGTAAAGAATTGATGTTTAGCTAATTTTTAGAGTAAAAACCCCTAAAATATTTGAAATAAGCCTCCCAAAATGAACTAAACATTTTTGATCATTTAAGCTTTTTTAACACTTTAATTTAACCAGAATTGTTATTTAGGATTGAAGTTTATGTTTGTTTATTAATTTTAAGTTAAATCCAAACTAAATGTATTTTTAAATTGTTCCAATTCCTCTGATGTTATTCCAGGAATTTTTGGGGTTTTAATTCCAATCATTTCCAACGTCGCAAGATGGAATCCATCTTGTTGTAATGAATGGGCTTTAAATATTGGCAATTAAAAATATTATTTTATAAAATAAATGTTAAAATTTTTTACCTAAAAGGAGGAAAATTCCAAACATGTTAAGGGAATTAAAATACATGTTTCAAATAAAAAAATTTAATTTTGAGAGTAATGATATAGGGAGAATTCTAATTAGCTTTATATAAAGACAAAAGTCTATTGTTACACGTGCCTAGATAATTTAAATTTATATAGTCTTATGCACTTAGACTATTGTCTTAAGATGAATGGGAATCGGTACTACTATTGTCTTACCTATTTGAGACCTTTAAATAAATTTATTTGGAAGTCTCTTTAAAGAAGGGTTAACAATGGTTAAAGCTTCTTAGCCAGGATTTGTCTAGACTTTTTTGAAAAAGACTTGTCTAGACTAGTTCCCTCGCGCCGAGTCTGAAATTTTAGAATTGTAATAACTTTTTTTGAAATCTTAAAATGTTCTTAACGCTTTATCATAACTTATTTTTGATTTCAACCATGTTTAAACTTATTAAATTTTTTATTATGACTTTTGGACGAAGGTATTTGATTAGGGTAGAAATAAACCTAACATTTAAGGATCTTATTTTAATTATTTTAAATTAATTTAAACTCACTATATTGTAACTTCCATTCATTAGGCCTCTCAAATTTAAAATTTTTCTTATCAATATAACAATATTTTGGCCAGTTTATTGACAATTTAAATTTCATATTTTTTGGGCAATAATATTTATCCCCATCTCCATTATTGTTATTACAATAGTTAATTAGTTCTTCAACTATGTTATCGCGTATTTTCAAATAAAAACTGGAAATTTATTTTTTTTAATTAGAAAAATATTTAAAAAAAGGAAAGTATTAAAGATTTTTTGAGGGTATAAGGGCACTTGTGTGCCATCCACCTCCAAACACCCTAACCCTCCAACCACCAACACCAACCCCTCTATTATTTCCACATAATTCCTCCATAATATAAACTGGTTTTAAAAAATCCCTCAATCTCTCTCCACTTTGATCTTGCGTAAATTGTTCCAAAAAAGTTTTGATACAACTCCTGCATAAGGGATAACGCAAACAGAATTTTGCCGATTACTAATATAATGTTCCAAAATTTCTACAATAAATTTTTGTGGACATTTCGATTGACTTTAAAATTTAATTTTAAATTTCGTTATTCTTACATTTTATCCAAACTTTTGTTTCCCAATATTTCATTCAATTCGGCAGCAAATTCAATTAAATTTACATTTGTTTGATTTTTAATTAAATTATCAATATCGGGCTTTCCTTCTTCATTAAAAATAATTATAAAACGATTAACTAAACAATAACTAATATTTAAAATTGAAATTTTATTTAAAGGATTATTTGAAGATTTTAAATTTTTTGTTTGGATTTTTTGCTGTTTTTTCCAATTTTTTACTAAAAATAAAAGTTTTTGCATTATTCGTTGAATATAATCTGAAGTAGATTCTTTTATTATTTTTGAGAAATAATCGAAGGATTTTGAATTAATTTGTTTATCTAAATTATAATGAATTAAGAATTATTAGTTTTTAGAAGTTTGTAATTACGATGGCGTAATTACGGATTAAAATAATTATTTTTATATTAGAGGGCCATAATCAGATTTTTAATATTTTGTTGAAGTCAACTTAAAATTTATTTAATAATATAATAACAAAAAAGTGAATTAATTAATGTTGGACATTAATTAATTATGCCAGATATTCTGCTCTCTTAAGCTCTTATCCTTCTTTATATGCTCCACCTCAGGGACAAATAGTGTCGAAATTTTGAATTAACATACATACAATTAAATATTAAATAAATCTCTAGGTGAGCATTATTTAAGAATAATAATTTAACAGCTGTTACTAGGCCTAGAGCTGCCGGATTTTGTTCTGTCGGGCCCTGAAAGTTCAGTAGGGTTTCTTCCCCCTGGTTCCAAATCTAATTTTCATTTTTTACATTTAATTAAAAACAATATTTACAAAAATACCATTTGACTCAATCATTTTAAATTTCTCCATAATTAACCTATTCAAATTCAATTCATCGACAAATTTATACAAAGAATACTCAAATTTATCCACTGAAACAAAAAGTTTGTCAAAATAATCCTTCAAATTTAGCATTTCCTTATCTGCTTTCAATTGACAAAAAAAATTAAATTGTTTGACAAAATCCAAAAAAGAAGTTTTTATTGTTTCCAACATTTGTTCAACGCCCTTTTTGTTCTTATTGTTTTTGTATAAATCACACAAACTTGTAAAATTGTAAAAAACCTCAAAATTATTTTAAATTATTATAAGGGTGTTAATAAACTATAATGTCATTTAAATCGAAATATCCGTTAATCTTGAGTAAAAAAAGCTGAAATAATAAAATATATGAATTATTTTTAATGTAATCCCAACTCTCTAAAAGCTGCTATTTCAAATTGATTCTGAGCTCGGCTTTTTAAGTTTGTAATCAATGGAGATCTAAACTCGATTCAAGTGGTTCACTCGATAAAAACCGATTAAGTAAAAACAATTTGTTTAATTTCCTTCATTACAAACCTTAATTAAAAATGTGGCCTTTTGCTCAATTTTTTTAAATTCATTTTCAATATTTTCTGTTGATTTGCCGTTTAATTTATTTTGTAAAATTTCTAAGAATTTTCGTTGCTCAGTTATATCTTTTAAATTTAAATTTATATTGGCAAAAGTAAATTTGAGCAAATAAGCGGCAAATAAACATTGTTGAATGTGAACACGAAGCTGGATATTTGTTTCCAATTTGGAAAATTTTTCTTTGACAATTTCCATTTGATTTATATTTTTTGGTTGTTTATTCAACTAAAAATTTATCACAATATTAAACTCAAATCTCTATAGGACGTCTCTCCGTTATCCAATAAGTATATCCCCCTAATGTGTCAACTCAATTCGACCCCGAGGAATGTATTTAGTGAGAGATGGCTTTGATTAAGAATTAAATGATGATTTTATATACGGGTTACCGTATATACTTATTAATTACCCTGGTCAATTATTGATTAGATCTCTCGCTGGGGGAGGTAATTAAAGCAGATGGGGAGGCATTTCTCTTTGTAAATTCAAAAAATAATAGATTTTATGTTAACAATTTTGAGGGCATTAATTAATTATTAAAATATATTAAGACTCTATTTTTGCTTAAAATATTTTGTTAAAGAAAAATCGAGAACAAAATCGTTAATTAATAATTTTTAATAAATATTTATTTTATATCCAAACCTCAATTAATTCTTCATTTATTTCATAATTAATTGTTGTTTTATTTAATGCATCTTCTATAATTTTAATATTAAAGTCCTTCTTATGAAGTACCTCAGACACTGAAACTAGAATGTGATGCGCTTCAGTAAATGTTAGTTTATGCATATAAAAGCGATCAACTATGAATTTTAAAAAATTAAAAAGAATCTGAGATTAATTTAAATACGTGCATCATTATATAATTCTCCCCATTCTTTGCTTTCTTTGACCATTCCCGGCATTTCTAACATATTTATTCCCATAAAACTTGAATCTGCGAGGCTAAAGCCATCCTCATAAATATATTTATCTAAAATAATTTAATTATAATATTTTTTCATAATTTGTCAAAGTCTTCGAAACTCTTCCTTTAACTTACTATGCCTTAAAGCCCATTCTTCTGGACGTTCAAAAGTTATATTCTTTCTTTCTATTGAACAATATCCAGCCCAATCTTTTATTAAGTTGTCTACATAATTTTTACAAAAATTTTCATTTTCAACATCCCCAGTTTTGCATTTTTTATATATTTTTGCTTCAATTTGGATCAGAATTCTTTTGTAGTATCTTAAAACAATATAGCCCTTTATTTTTATTTTAAAGAATTTTAAGATGATTTAAAGAATTTATTAAATCATTTTTAATTTTGGGATAGAAGGATTAAACTATTTAATTTATTTTAATTTTATAGTAAGAGAGAAATAACTGCTTAGTTTTAGTCCCCCTCTTAAAGAGGAGGATTTGGAAAGGGTGATTTGGAAAGGGCCACCCTGATTGTGAGTAGAGTTGTCGTTTTTCGGAAAATCTTCACATATTGAGATTCAAATTGTAAAACCAAATTGGTAGCCTCTCGTTTCCTTAGTTCGGACCGATTCCGAACAGACAACCCTAATTGTAAACAACTTTAGTCTTTATTAATTAGTTCTCGGTGTAATTAATAACGACTAATTATTTAAAAAAATTTTTTAAACTTACTCAATATCCACACTTCTTTTGCCCAAAACATTTCCAATTAGAGCTGCATGTTGAAACATAAATGACTGATTTCCTTTAAAAATTCTTATTTTCGGTTTTCCTTCATCATTAAAGAAAATAATAAATTGTTTAACCAAACAATAGCCAACAAACAGATAACTAATATTTTTAAATTGCTCAACCTTCTCATTATTATTTCCTTTAATTTTTATAAAGATATTCATATTTTCTATTAAATATTTAAATTTTTCTGTCAATTGTTTTAAGTAAATTTTATTTTCTTTATTTGCTAATTTCTTTAAAATATTTCTGTCCTCAACCAGAAACTTTTCTTTAGCTTCTGAAAAAAATAAAAATTAAACAAAAAATTTTAAGGGTTTAATTTCGGTTAAATGAATTGAACTATGATAATTAAAGAATGATAGGTTTTGCCCAAAGGTGGGTCGGAATTCCTATTTCTGGCGTTTTTTCCTTCCGGTTTCCAAAAAAATTGATTTCCGATTTCCGAGTTCCGACATTTGAGCCAGTTCGATTTCCGACACCTCTTTCCGACCAACCTCTGGTTTTGCCTCCCCGCCCCTCTACCCCCAGACCCTAAACCTACAAAGTTGTATTCTAAAATTATTTACAGCCATTATAAATTTCCCTCTAAACCTTTAATTAATAAGTCCATCTTACTTTTCATTCTCTCCACTAATTCACTAATTAAATTAATTTTATCTAAATTTTTATTCATTTTTTTAATAAATTTCTGAAATTCATTAACTTTTCCCCCAACTTTATTTAAATATTTTTTTATATTTTGTGAATTATTTTTAGCCTCTTTAATAAGTTTATCATTAAAGAAAATTTCAACGTTTTCATAACCCTTTTGAATATTTTTTATAATATTCTTTATTGCTTCGAATTTAGTCTAAATTATTTTATAATATTTAAAAATATTTTGAAATAATAATTATACTAGAAGGGATTGTAAAAATACAAGCTTATCTAATAATTGAATAGATTTTTGATGGAAACAATTATTTGCTCAACATGAATTTATTTTTAAATAAATATTTATTTATTGTAGAAAAGGGAGATCCAGCTGGCTAGCATTTAAAACAATTACTAGGCAAGGCTCCGTAGCTCAGTCGGTAGATCACATATACGTAAAGCGCTTAGCGATATTGCCACGAGTTCTTTTATGCCTGCTCAACAGGCTATAGCTCTATCCCTTTCATTTTTATATCCCACCGCCACTCCCTAATTTAGGTCCCCTAATATAAGCGATGAAAAATAAAAGCATTTGTGTCTTATTATAGAAATTATGGTAGTATATACAAGCACTAATTGTCGGTTTCACCGGATTCTCCAATTAACCGAACCGGTTAACTGAAGAGTTTCTTGTTAGGAGTTCTTGTTAATAATCCTGTCAGTTCGACAACCCGGACCGAAAATTCTTAGTTTTTCAATCGGTTCGGTTATTGACAAAAATCCTAAACTATTTTAATTTATTTTTTCTAAAATAAAAGCATTTGTCAGGGCTAAGCTTCTAGAGATTTAGCTGGCTCATTATAATATTCTACAAAAATCTTAAACTTTTCATTAGAGAATATCGAATATTTTCCCCAACTTTTTGAAAGTTTTTATTTTCCGATTAAATTTCTAATTATTAAATTCCAAACTACCAACCTCAGTATCTTCATATTTATTTTTAAAATCGCATTCTGTTCGGAAATTCCCAATTATTTCGACAATAAAATTAACAGATTTATTATCACTTTTATTCCAAGATTGCAATGTATTATTTAAATTATTGAGGAAATCTTTCTGATTATTTTCATTGCTGTTTATATTAAATAATGTAAACTTTAATATTTTTGTAGTAAATAAACATTTTTTTATATTTTCTTTTAATTCATTATTTGTTTTAAATCCGTTAGAATTTCTTTTTAATTCTTCCAAATTATTGAAATTGGATGGTTTTTCTAGCTGTATATTGTTAAAATTTAATTTTATAAATTTTAATTTAATTTCGGCTTTTGTCCAGTTTAAGTTTATGCGTCCAATGAAAGTTTATGCGTCCAATCAAAAGAAAATAGGATTTTTCATGATATTGCAAAGTTGGTGTATGGTACCAAAACATTTCTTCATGTTCGTGACCTACGCCCGCTGGGTCTGGGACCGTTCCTTGCCCTAACTCTCGAAATTTCGAAAAATTATAATTTTTTTCCGAAATTTTTAAAAATTGGCTTTAACGTTCCGAAATTTCGAGGGATAGGGCAAGAAACGGTCCCAGACCCAGCAGGCATAGATCCCGAACACGAAGAAATGTTTTGGTACCATACACCAACAGTGCAAAATCATGAAAAATCCTATTCTCTTTTGATTGGACGCATAAACTTTCATTGGACGCATAAAAGTCGATTGGACGCATAAACTGGACAAGCCTTAATTTCTTACTTTTTTCAACGAATTATAAAAATATTTGTTTATTTTAATTTTTGTTATTTTTTCATTCAATTGTTTGAGAAATTCTTCGTTATTTGTTATTTCTTTAATATTTATTGTTTTGGAGAGAATTGTTATAAAATGATGTGCTTCAGTGAATGTTAGTTTGTGCAAATAAAATGAGGAAGCTGAAAAATATTTTTATTACTGATTTTCTAATCTTTTTTTTAATGTCTATACAATAATTACCCGTCCCTGTTTACCTTCGAGTAAAGGGAGGAATGGGAGACTATTTACTTCCCTTTTCGCGAAATTATTATATGTATGCTTTCCGGAAACACCAGAATTATTAATAACTTTTCCGCATACATCAGAATTATTAAATATCCTTTACGGAAATTATAATACCTAATTATTATACTAGAATTATTATATAATTATTATATTCATCTTATATTTTCTTTCCTTTCCGCGAAATTACCCCCTCCCCAGCCCCTCTCACCGTTTTTTTTGACACCCCTAACTTA